TGTTTTGTACAATATGGTAGATGTTTAAAATGTAAAATTTGTTCCTTTTATAACATCTATGTGATAGTTCACTTTTTAAGGGTCATGCTACCTATGAAGGTGAACCATCAGTGGTACATTGAAACTTCATTTGGAGGAATTCATCATGTGTAACCTTTTATAATTTTTAAAAATATGAATGAGGGACCTTACTTTTGAGAACAGTAATAGCCTATGGCTAAGTTTTAATGATTTGTGCTTTTTGGCTTTCTTTTTTTTTTTTTTCTTAGCTGAGCCATCCTGTCACCTGTTGGCAGCTCAGCGGCAGCTCAGCTTGGGCCGGGACTCGAACCACTGTTGCTCAGAGCTCAAACTCTTGAGCGAGCTCTTAACTAACTGAGCCACTCGGCCGGCCCTTGGCTTTCTTAACAGTCAGTCTCAAAACATTGTATGTCTCTTGTTTCTTGTTGTCTTAAATACATTTCTTATCTATTTCATCACTGAAGCAGACTTTCCATTTTCTTTGCATTGTTATGTGTCTCTCTTTCACGTTTCATGGTCCCTCTTTTCATTTCTTCTAGCTTGACCTAGATGCTCTGGAATCATCTTTTTCCTTTATTCCCTTTGTCTACTAGATTTTATCTTCCTTTAGTATGTTTCATATTTTCCATTCTCCATTTCTCAATAGTATAGACATTCATCATCTCATGCCTGGATTAATAAAATAGCCTCTTAGCCAGTGTTCTTTTCTCTAGTTTTTATTCAGCCTTTTTGCCAGACTAACCTGACTAGTTTAATTTATTGCTTCTATGTGCCAGACATATGCCAGATACTTAGTATATGTAGAAGGAATGATAGATTGAATAGTTCTCCTTTGCCTGCTATATCGAGTCCCAGACTTGTTTTCCAGCTTTATTGAGATTTGATTGACATATAACATTGTGTAAGTTTAAGGTGTGCAACATGTTGATCTAGTCCCAAACTTCTTTAATTGGTCTTCCATAGCTTCCATGGTCTGGCCCCATTCTATATCTTCAACATTGTTTCCCACTACTTCCCAACAAGCATCTAAAATATTTTTGCCATTATCATAATTTTTTTTTTAAACATCAAGAACAGGTTTTATTTGTCGTCATGAAAAGTTGGATTTCAAACAGATTTTTGGACTGGGAGCTTGTATCTATTAGCTTGTACAACTTTAGCACCTGTCTCATCCCCGGTAGCTTTGCCAGAACTGCTTCCTTCACCACAAAACTCCATGAGTTTTCCCAATTCAAATGTGGGCTTCTTCAGCATTTTGACTTTTCTAACAAAAGACATCATGGAGCAGATAAATAGATTGGCAAGCCTTTTCTATGTCTTTTCCAATGCTACCGGAATCAATGTATTGACCACTTCTTTCAAGTCATTTGTCTGCACCTCTCGGGTCATGATTTCCATCATCTTCTTCTGGATTTGGCGGACCTGTTGATGCTGAGCATAAGAGGTCTCCCGACTCTGATTGTTGCGTTTTTTAGTGAAACCAACACAGAATAGACGAAGCAAATAACCATTGGTAGTCTTGACATCCACATGAGCTTCAGACATGGTTGGCCATGTTTTGACCATGGAGCGTTTTGACCATTTTGTCACGGGTGAGATCCATGCCATGGAAATTAGGCAGTTTTTGCCTTGAACATCCTCAGTAATTACCTTGAATTTTCTAAATGCAACGTCATCATTCTGCAGATCAGCTAGGCTCACTTCAAAAACACGACCCTTGAGACCATCAGATGTGATTTTGATTCCTTGAGTTCTCATGACTAGTATTTCCCCAATATTTCTTACATGGAGCATAGCTGGTGCTTTCACATCATACCAATCTTTCTTAGAAAATGGGTCAGTCATTTTCTTCTTGACTCCCTTCTTGCCGCCTTTCGTAAGGTGCTTGTTCTTGCTGACCACCATGGTGTTGCTCAGAGAGCCAAAGGTGCCTTTATCATAATTCTTAATTCTTCCTGCCTTTTTGCCTTTGCTGTCCTCCACATTCCCTACCCCGACTTGAAATGCCTTCTCTCAATTTATTTGTATTAAATAGGATTGAGGCAGAAAACCGATGGCACACTGGAATAGGTAATTGAGGAAAGTTTGATGAAGAAGCTGTTTACAAAGTTGTGGGCAGAGTTCAAGGAAAACAACAAGGGGTAGTGAAGCACCCCAGGGATAGAAGCAGTGGGGGAATGATATGCCACCTAGACCCGAAGGGGCAAGGGAAGGAAGCAGACACTGGAAGCTGGAGAGAGCTGTAGGCACAGCTGTAGAAGAAAGCTGCAATTCAGAAGCTTTTCCAGAACTGCTACCTTTACCATGAAATTCCATGAACTTTCCCAAATTCAAACTTGGGCTTCTTCAGCATTTTGACTTTTCTAACAAACGACATCATGGAGCAGATAAATAGATTGCCCTTTGTTAAAGGTTCAGAACTGTTGCCAGTTTATGGTCATGTAGGGAGGGAGCTGGGGAAATACCTCAGTCTCTCTCTCTTTCCCCAGCATACTGACTTACTGGTACCTCCTACAGAATGAATCCAACCAGGAGCCAGAGGGCAACAGAACCTGTTCGCTATATCCACAGATACCAGCCACACAGGGCACAGAACAGTGTGGAGAAAGGGTGGAGAGAATCAGGGGAGACAAATAAATGGAGGCCAGATGGGACAAACATACCACTCATTGTTCAGTGCCTACCACCTTCATTCAAACTTGTTTTATTACTCAGTACATACCTGTTATTTTCTCAGTACCAGACATTAATTTGTCTGCCTGCTTTTCCGAGAATAGAGCCCTATCTCTTGACCCACAAGTTTACTTTAACAGTAATTTTATGTAATGCTTCTAAATGCTTAGATATGCAACATATCTAAAGGGGATTTGCAGTCTAAGACCAACGAATCCTTCCTCCTGGATTTTGAACTAGGGGGTTAAGAGATAATTAGGTGAGTTTCTCTCTGGGTGGCGGAGACTGTAACAACCTTGAGGTATTGGCAGCCCCGTTTTCTGCTGCTGCTTTTTCAGTTTTCTTGATAACCACACTTGCTGGGTTTTCCTCCTACCTCAGTTGATTGTACTTCTCAGCCTTATACTAGCTGCTTTTCTAATCCATTAATATTGGAGTTCTTTAGGACTCAGTCATTCGTCATCTTCTCTCTTTGAACTAATAACTCTAAGTGATTGTACCTGTTTCCATAGCTTTAAATACTATTTTAAAAACTGATACATGAGAAATACGTTTGTTTTAGAAAACAATGAGAAAATACTAACTGGCACAATGAAGAAAATTAAAATTTCCTATAATCTCACCACCCTAATAAACCAGCTTTTTTCTACAAAAAAAGTTATTATTTATTCAGTCCTTAAATACAGCCTTTTAAAAATTGAAGTATATGTCAGGTTTCTTAATTGTAAGATGATTTTGTCCGAACAGGAGTTTGGATGTTGGTCATCTCAGACTTGGAAAATGGTCAGAAATAAGGGAAGCTATACAGTATCCAAGACCACAGCATGAAAGCAACTTCTACTACTGAGCACTGTACACTGCAGCTTGTACCATCCCTGTTGCCTGTAGTGGATGCTGCGACTGCTGTGGTGCTATCACTGTTTCCCATAGATGCTTCACATTCCCAGTACTGGCCCCATTGGTGACCAACACATGGGTTTGCAACAGTTCTTGTTCTTTGTGATACTAGCTTCTGATCCAGTGTCCAAGATAGGTGTATCTGATTGATCAGCAGAGCCTGCCCTTATGCTTATAAAGCTAGTGCCTGACATTTCTAGCTTCACTAGTGGGCTCTTAAAATGTAGAGTTCCTAAAATTCAAAGGGAATTCAGATGCTGTGTAGTCAAGAATGTGAAAATCAGATCCTTGAGTATTTAACATAGTCAGTATACACAGAACAGCAATACAATAAGTACACACCAGCTCAGAAGTTGTTAATTCAGGATTTTAATGTGTTTGGATGGTATCTGTTAAGCTCAGTGGACATGTAACTTCACAAGTTAAGACTTCTTTTATATCCCCTTCAGTTCTATCCTCTATAATGATGCCAGACTTATTATTTTTTTTAATGCAAATCTTATGTTGTTCGCCTACTCAAAACGCTTCAGTAGTTAATTCCTCATTGCCTGTAGGATAAAATTAAAACTCTTTAGTTTGGCCTACAAATCCCCTTAATATTTGAATCCTGCCACATGTCTAGCCACAACTACCAATAATCCAGTTATCCCCTTTACCCATAACAACATATTAGCTCTAGCCATGTCATATTAATTCTTTTCCCTGAAAATTATTATGCTTCTTTATGTTTCTGTACCTTTGTGCATGTAGAACCTTTTTGCTTGGAATGACTATTCCTTTTTTGTCCTCTTTGCAAATTTATTTTTAAAGACTTAATTCAGATACCACTTTTCCATGTAATGCCTTCTTGATGCCCTCAACCGAACTGTTTCCTTCTTTATACTTCTATATGTTCCTGTAATACAGCACTCATCATGTTATATTGTAACTATTTCTTACTTTTTTTTTCTTATTAGATGCTAATGAACTTGGGAATTGGTAATCTTTTATCATCTCTTTATTTCAGAAGATTTTTGTTGGATAAATAATGAATGAAAACACCCTACTTAGTTTATTTAGTTAGTCGCTGTTTTTAAGAGCAAAGAACATGCGTTCTATCCCTGTATCACTGTGTTTGCCTATTCCATAGCCACAAATAGCATTCTCACCTTGGCTAATTATCGTGCAGTGGAACTAGGGGAAATACACCTTGATGGACCAGAAATATTATCTTGATATATGACGTATAGTACATTATCATGATAGCTTTAAAAATGGACTTTAAAACTGTCAGAAAAGTACCTTACTTTGATGAAATATTAATACTGAATTTTGTGTTTCATTTGTCTTATGTTAAGGAACTAAAAAAAGTAAACTCAGACTTGATAAAGTCCAAAGTCACATGTCAACATAAGATGGAAGAAGAAAACATCAATTTAACAATTAAAGAACAAAAATTTCAGGAACTTCAAGGAAGGCTCAAGATGGTATTTAATTAACTGTCTTCATGTTTATAAAATTAATATTTTTTATAAAATCTATGAGAATTTCAGGATTATAACACAATGTTCATTTTGTCAAGTTAATACATAGGAAAAAGTATTGTGAATTTTTTTTAATTGTTAGATATTTACTATTATCAGCAAGACTTTAAGACATTAAAATTTGTCTGTAATCATTTTATTTCCACTTTAATATGGTGTCAGGTCATCTTATGGTACAGTGGTAGCTCCAGAAAAGCTTTTAGAGATGAGAAATTCTGTGCTTTTTAACATTAAATTTGTAAGTTTGCACCAGCCTATATTGCCTATCTAATACCATCTTTAGTTTACTAGAGTCACTGCTTCAACAGCAAACAAATGTTGGTACTCTGAAGTTAAATAATAGGTATGACACTCCCAAATTTGTTGAGCACTGCATTGAATGTAGAATTTGCTGGCTTTTACATCATAACCTAAAATTTTTCAATTTTTTAAAGGAATTGGAATTAAATAAGAAGATTAATGAAGAGATTACCCATATTCAAAAAGAAAAACAGGCAAGCAATCCTAAAATAGCTTGGAAGCTAGTAAATATTTTCAAAACCAGATACAAATGTGGGCAAACACATTAAGTTAAATAACAAATGGAATCATGCCTACGTCAATTCTTAGCACATAGTAAGCACTCAGTGTATATGAAATGTATACATTGTACCTTTTTAACCAGGTCTCACATATACTCCCATTTAAGAACAAAATCAGAGGAGAAATGTGGAAATGTTCATCAAAGGGTACAAACTTCCAGTTATAAGATGTGTAAGTTTTGGGGATTTAATGTACAGCATGACTTTAGTTAACATACTGTCTTAAAAATTTTTTAATTGATATATCATATTTATACTTTTTTGAAGGGTATCATCATTTCTTTCCAACATATGCAGCAGTTACTACAGCAACAGACTCAAGCTAATACGGAACTAGAAGGAGAATTGAAGGTGCTAAGAGAAAATAATCAGGTTATAAATATATATGTATTTTAAAGTATATTTCCATCTAATGAGCTTTACCTGTTTAGTTGCAGTCATTTGTCCAACTTTATTTGAGATCATTTTGAATTTTGCGGGTAAGATATTGTCTTCTTCATCAACTTGGTATCAATATCTAAGATAATGAGCATATTTTTTAACATTTAAGTCACTATTTAAATGTTCAACTGTAAGAAATATCTGATTTCATTTTGTAACAGATCGAATAGGATTTTTTTCTTTGTCTTAAAATTGTGGCCAAGACTAAAACTGAAAATAAAAAGCGATGAGTATCACCACGTTTTAAGAGAGTAATCAGTGAGCTCCCAGTAATTAGGGGCAGAGTGCTCTTTATAGAAATGTGATAGAATTGACCCTATTATCGCAGCAATCACCCTGTCATCTTCTTTTCAGCACATATAAGAAATGATGGGGGAATGGAAGAAGTTATGGTCACTGATGTTATGGGAGTGAGGGTTCAATAAGAGGGTCTTTTCTCTTACATTCCCAGTGGAGGGGCATACATCTCCCCTCATGAAGCTAAGTGAAGGAGTCTACAGAAAATCCCTTGTAAAGACAGGAGTACGAGAAGGGGAGGGGGAGACGGCCATCTTGTTTTTAGATGGATACTTGAAATGCTGTGGAAACCTGAACATCTGCTCCGGTGTCACCAGTAGAGTAGAATGTGATAAGTTCATGTGGAATAGCTTGACATAATGTTTCCTGAAGTTTGGAAGTGTTGCAAGAACATGTAAACTAATATCTTGTCATAGTCTAGAAATTTCAAGTAGTAAAGTTTTGTAGTAATCTGTGCCAGTGGGTCTTGAAGTGTATTATACTTGTTCCAATATTATACCTGGAAGGATGCAGAAGAGAGAACTTTGGTGGTTTCTTGGATCCACTGGAAGGAACATGGAGGTTAGTGGAAGGGCGGGCACTGCCCTTGGTGTTACTGGGCCAAGTGATGTCCGACTCAAAGAAGGAGCTGGGGACATGTCCCACTGAGTTGGCCAGTGGAAGGTATTTATGCCCCTCTGAAGGGACTCTTGGTAATAAAGGATCACGCTGAACATTTCCCAAGAAAACTATAATCTTCCTATGTAAAGACCACCATCAGCAGAGCCAGGGCCAGCTTCATGGTTACGTAACCAGTGCACGTACATAAGGACCCATACTCAGAAGGGCCTCATGCTTCAGGTTTAATGTTCTGTGGTTACTGTCTTGAAGTTTTTATTAATTTTTATCCTTGAATTTATGTTTTGTAAATTCAGTCTGATGGGGATGGTGAATTAAGCCTGATGATGCACTGGGCTTAGAGCCTCAGCTCAGGCACTCTCCGGCCTCCCAGGACCAGTCCTTGGCTGCTGGCTCTTCCACCCTTTGGTGCCCTGGGCCCTGCCTGGCCTCATACTCGCTGCTCCAGTCTCACCACTGCTGTGGCCTGGGCCACGTTGTGGGGAGAGGCCTGTGTTCTCTTGCTGCCCTTTACCCCTGGTGCAGGCCTGGACACAGCAGGGAGGGTCTGGGTGGAGTGCGTGTGCCCTGCAGCATCCTTTGTCCCAGGCTGGCAACACCTCGGCACTTCAGGTAGGTGACTTGGCAGGGAGTGAATGCCCGTCCAGGTCCTGAGGTGCATCTCTACGTGGCAGTTGCAATCTCTTGGGGGTTACCCATCTGCCATGGGTTGGGGCAGAGGGCCCATGGGATGAGAAGATTTACTTCCACACCCCCAGCCAGCACATGGTACCCGAATCCAGCCACTTGTAAGAGGCAGGAGCCAGTAGCTGGTGGATCACACTTGTGCTGAGTTGTGTGGTGAGGCCTTTAGGCATCTGTGAGGATCTGCATTTTCCCTGTGAGTATCCTGCTTCCCCAGGACCGTGACATTAAATGGAAAATAAAAAGTCCCATGATGGTTGACACGGGAGAAAGAAAGGGAAGGGACCATGAAGAAAGGAAAAAGTTTCGATTCTAGTATCTTTAATAGCACTTTTTTTTCTGCTTTTTGCATTTTGTACCAGGCCTCACAAATTATGTTGAGTCCATCACCATTGAAAAGAACCAAATCTGATCTGAACCATGCGAGATTTATCTCACCATTGATGTTCTGTGAATAGTCACATAAAGAGGCTTTCACCTTCCTTATTTCTCTTGCCTGCCCCCAGTACTATAGGAGTTAGACCTGGGAGAGGTGTGCTAGTGTCCAACCTCTCCTTCCTCTTAACCGCTTTACCTACTCCAATGAAATACTAGTAAAAAGCATTTCTCTCAAAGTCTAGTTATTATATAAGCAAGTAATCCCCCACCTCCTCTGCTCACTCTACAGACGGATAACTGAAACTATTTCTCTGATATCTTCAACCTTCTCCCAAGAAACACATCATTTACTCACATTCTTTATCAATAGCAGTTATCAGGATTTTTTCCTAATCCATTTAAAAGAGTTGAAACAGATTTTTAGGGTGATCAAAATATTAGAGATTAGCCAGTCCAATCATTTCATTTCACGATGAAGTAGAGATCCAGGAAGTATAAGCAATGTAGTTTAAGGCCTCCTAATTAGTGGCAAAGCAGGGTTAAATCTTTGTCCTGATTCTACTCCAGCACCTTTTCTACATTACATTATTATTGTATTTTTGCCAGACCTATGAGGGCTGCCACTTTTGTTAGATCAGTTATATGAAAACTACAACTTTTAAATTGCCTTTCATGGGCTCTAAACCCAGTGTTTATGTACTGTTGAATTCTACAGGGCCGATAGTAGTTATAGATCTGAGTTAATGATGACTGTAACTATGGTTCCAGGATCTTTTAACTACACTGTCAATATCTTAGATAATCCAAAAGCCTCTGTCTCTAACTGGCACCATTATTAGCTGAGCCTTGATAGTACATAAACTAGATTTTATATAGTAAAATTTAAAACAGTATTGGCAAGAACAGGGTAGAATTGTCAGCTTTTTATTTTGATAAGTAAAGATGTTAAAAAATAAACAATACTATCATTTTAATTTTATAAAAGAACATTTGAACACTAAAAGTATATTAAGGATGTAATCTCAGGAAAAAGTACAGTCTGTTATAGGAAAAGACACTTGATGACCTTGTATTGACATTTTTTGCCATGGACTAGTGAAATTTTGTCACAGATCAGTACTTGTTTGCAGACTGGTATTGGAGAACCACTGATATATAGTATAACAAAATATTAATGTAGAACTGTTGCTGAGGATTATGCTGCATAGATAGCTCAAGTGTTTTCTCAAGGAGCATTCTAATTCCTCCTGTACTAAAAGGGGTCATTACTCTTCATAATGGCCTGCTCTTTTTCAGTGATCTGCTATCATGCTGTCATCTGTCTTATCTTTTTAATAGTACAATTTGGAGCATAGAGAACTGCAGTCTTATGATAGAGAATATTTGCTACTGTGATTTAATTAATAGTTTTGTCCAGATGTAAGTAGTTATGCTACTATAGTCATAGTATCACCATGGTATTAACCAGGATAATTTACTCCGTTTTGGGTATACTAAAGTATGAACAAATCGTTTTATTTTGACTTTCCACAACATCTATTTTTTCAGAGAGGGTTTTTAGATTTGTTAATCCAGATGCAAATAATACCAAATAATTTCCTGATAGAGTATAAATTCCACGACAACAGTAACATTTTCACTAATGTAGCATAGGGGCCTAAAAGAGTATGTGGCACATAGTAGGAGCTCATTCATATTAAATTAACAAAGAATAAATTCAGACCCTTTGCAAGTTCAGATATTGCCAGGTTAGGGCTTCTAGTTAAATATTCAATTGAACCCACACATTCATTTCTATGTCTTTCTGAAATTGCAATAAAATGACGTTGTTAAATTCACAAGGACAAGAAATAGGTAGAGGAAATAACAAAAATAAAGGTTTAAAAGTGAGAACCAGATGGAAAATTAGGAATTTACTTCGTAAATGATAGAAAGTAGACACATAAGCCAAAGATGCAAAAATGGTCAGGAATTGCAAGCATTGTGTGCCTCTACGGAAGCCTGGAACTGGACGGTCTGTGTAAGAAGCTACCACACCTCCAGATTCTCTCCCCTACCCTGCACAAACAGGCACTGCCTGTCTCCTACTTGGCAGACGATTGGAGGTTTACGTTGGAGAGTCTGAAGGACAGCTGAGGTCAGGGAGAGCCAGTGGTGTGCTGGAGACAGCTTATACCAGAGAGACCTGGCTGTTAGAGCTGGTGCCACTTTGTGAGCTGTTCTTTCTACAAATGGTAGCTTGAAATTGACCATGGTGGGAATATTGAACACTATTGAAATTGGCAAATGCTGCAAATCAGGCTTCCTTTTTTTTTGAAAGCCTATTTATTAGCATACCACTTATAGTATTATATTGAAAACAGGGTGGAAAGTCTAAATACTGAATTCTGAGATCGCTCAGCCGTTTCCCCTTGTAAAGGGCAGCTAGCCTTATAACGTCCAGGCAGAGAATGGAAGATCCCTTTCTGGGGGAACTAACCTGCTCAAGAGAAAAGACTGTAGCTGTTGCAGTTAAGTTTTCCCAATAAAATAGCTCAGCCAGATCAACTTTCAGTGAAGCCCACCATTTGGCAAAGCTTTCAACCAGCCTTTTAGTACTTCATCCTTAAATATGAACAGGCAGTTAAGGATCATTGGACATTTGAAAGTCTCCAACATGAAAAACAGACCAAACCAAACAGTAATGAAAAACAGTTGAAGAAACTAAGAAAACATACTTATGTAAGAGAATTATATTTTTTAATCCACAAAACAAGAATTCGAAGTCTATGAAAAAAAAACATTCATAGAATAAAAGAGAACCCTTAAATATATTAGCAGAAATAAAAACTACAGTGCAAAAGTTGGAAGATGATATTGAGATAGTTTCCTAGAAAGTAGAACCAAAAGACACAGAGATGAAAAATAGGAAATAAAATTAGGGGGTCAGTCTAACAGGTCTGGTGAGTTTGAGAACAGAGAAAATGGAAGGAGAGGAAATGACCAAAGAAATAGGTCTCACTAGAACTATTTCTTTGGTCATTTCAAAACAAACTCAAATCCTTCAGCTCTGGGTTACTTTCTTGTAACCCAGAGCTGAAGGATTTGAGTTTGTTCTGCCCAACACCAATGCATATTATGAAATTTCATACTAAAAGAGAAAATTCTAAAACTCTGTAGGAAAAAAAAAAGTTAGGTCACATACAAAGGATTCAGAATGAGAATGGCAACATAATGATTTCAGGCTTCTCACTGGCAGCACTGGCAGGTAGAAAATAATAGAACCAGGTCTTTAGAGGTTGGGGAGAAATTGATTTCCAAAGCAGAATTGGGCCGTATTCAATGAAATGAATTGTTAAGTGTAGGTAGAATAAAGATATTTTCAGATATGCAGGGTCTCAAAAATGCACCATCTGTTGACTCCTTTATCAAGAAGTAATAGAAAGTTTGCTTTACCAAGAGAATGGAATAAACCCGGAAAGAGGAAGCTATGGGATCTAGAAAACAGGAGACCCACCACAGAAGAGAGAAGGAAATCTTGAGATAACCTGATCAATGTAGCCGACTAAAAGAACAATAGGTCCAAATTGTGATGGAAGGATGGAATGTCTCCAAAAAATGGAAACAGAGAGAATACCTGATATAGGCAGTTTTTTGGTGTTTTTTGTGTGTGTATGTTTTTCAGGTTGGGGTATGGGTAAGGACAGGAAATGATTGACATATCTAATGCACTGTTTTAAGAACATAATGTTCTTGATCATTTATTATTACTAAGATAGAGACTGTGGTATATACTCCCATATCTCCTCTAAACTTTGATTTGTCTATATTTTAAAATACAGTGTTGACAAGATAAATAGATACTATAAAATTAGAATGTTAAAGTGTTAAGCATCTATTAAATATATACATTGTAAATATATATAAACTGCCGTATTATCACAATAGGTACCTATAAATTAAGAAAATATGACTTCTGTAAAAGTATTTATGTGATCCTAAAGTAGAGGCAATCATAATAGGAATTCATGGAGTGCTCTCAAAATGCACAGCTCTTTATAAGCTAGAAGAGAATCTTCTTGTTAAAGTTATAAAATGTTTGTATTATATGTTTCCATAATTTTGGATAATTATGTCTGCATACTGACATTCTAGATATAATTGAGAACTCTTTAAATAGATGGAATACTATGAAGCCTTTAAAATGAGAGCTATATATAATAATATAGAAAGTAAGACATAGTATTATTCATCTTTAAAAAAAAGTGATTTGCAGAATAACATGGCATGGATGATGTGGTCTCATCTGTATTTTAAAAATACATTTTATATACTTGTATGCTTCTAGACAACTTCTGGAAGGATACATCAGAAACTGCTAGAATGGTTACCTGGGGAGGAGAATTGGAGAACCAATAGAGGAAATCTTTACCTTTTCTTTCTGTATCCTGTGTGTGGCTTGTAATGTTTACACTGAATGTATATAGCTTTCATAATGATGAACAAATGAACTTAAAAATCCCAGATGTATTAGACATGTAGGTAGAGTTCTTACTATTTGTCTTTTTACCAAAGTTTACTTGGATTATCAGCAAAAATTGAAAAAAACTAATAATACTGGTGACACTGATTTAATAGCTTAAAAATCCTAAATGTCTTAGAAAACACTTAGTACTGGTTTTACTCTTTAAGAGTTATTTTTGGGAGAGAGGGTAGTGTGATGGTTATATTATGTTAATTTATTATCTAATAAATTAATATAGTAAATATTGAACCTCTACTAAATTGTTAATTTGAAATTAAAATTGTATTTAAGGGTTTTCTAGCTAGTTTATTTTCTAAAATAAACAGATACGAAAAAAAATGTTCTGTGGTAGTTAAAAATTTTTAGTACGGTTAGGCTGGATTATGCTACATTTCATATTTTTCAGTGCTGTACTTTATATTACTTTTTCAGTACATTAAAACTTATGCAGTGAAACTGAATAATGGCAATGTTTTTATACCCTTTTATAGCCATTTCTTTTTCATAACCTCCCCCTATTTCCTGTTAACTAAACTATAAGTACCTTTCTGTTAATTTATGAAAATTATTGTTGAGATAGCACATTATCACTGATCTGTATGGCACTTTCAGCATGTTAGAAGCAAAGGTCCAAGCAACATAAAACACATCAAAATTCATTAATGTGGTATTGATTATTTTTTGGATAATTAATTTTATTGCAGACCCTTGAAAGAGATAATGAGCTGCAAAGGGAGAAGGTAAAAGAAAATGAAGAAAAGTTCCTTAATCTTCAAAATGAGCATGAGGAAGCACTAGGAACTTGGAAAAAGCATGTAGGTTTATTAAATAGTAAAATAGTAAAATATTTTAAATAGTTGTAGACATTTAAGATAACTATTAAATGCTAAGAAAATATTGCAAAAATAATGTAGGAATAAAATCAGACACATTTTCTTCTTGCACTTCTAGTTCCAAGAAGTGAATACTTTTTAAAAGCTAAATTTAATAAAATTTCCTGTAGTGCTTTTATGCATGAAAAACCACATGTGTGTATGTGTGTATGTGTATATATCTAATTTGAATGATGTTACATATGTGACAAAGAAAAATTAATTTACCTTTTCATAAAACCATTGATAGTATTTTAGTAAATGATTAAAATATAGAATTATATAGGTATTATTGTTAGCTGATCTGTTTAGCTTTCCTCAGCAATTTCGTTGAGATGTATTAAAGCCATGTTTTTAGAACATGTATACAGTAGTTGAGTTGTATAGTATTAACATTTTATCATAAGAATTGATGGTTGTAAACAATGCTATTTCCTTAAACCACGTTTATTTGATACTAAATTTTAATTTTAATGAAGTAGATAATAAAATGTACAATGATGTAAATTAAAGTGAAATATAAGGATTCACTTTTTAAAGATGGATGAACCCCAAAATTGAATATTCTATTTTAATATCTATTTTCATTGCCTTTCTTTTACAAGAATTCACACAATAGAAAGTCATTTATGAGTTTATGAAAGCTATATTTTGGGAAAATAAGATTCTACTTCAGATTACTATAGTAATTATACTATATTCTAATGCTATACTAATATATTTTATACTAATATACTATATACCTAAGTACCTACTTGATAACGTTTTCTGTAGATGATCTTGTGTGATATAAATTGTTATATAAGTAACTTGATTTTTCAATTGCTTGCAGCTAACATGTTAATTTATATTTTGGAGAGATCATGTCTTCACTGATGAATTTGATAAGCTTTACCCAAATCTCAAAAAGTAGTTTGTAATTAATTCTATCAGAATACTAAAAAATCCTTAATAATCTCGGTAGTAAAGTTTATCACTAGGCACCAAGCATAGTAATATTCATTTTAGCTTCAGCTAATCCACATTGCATCCCAATACTTCCTTCACATTCCTAATGTTTAAAAGACCATGGAAATGGCACTCACAGGATAAGCAAAAACTATCAAGTGAAAAGAGAATATAAATTTAAATATGCCAACCGTGCAAAAAAAAGTAGTTGAGCTAAGAAAATTAAACATTTACTTTTCCTGATGAGACCACTACCATCTCCCTCCCTCAACAAAAAATCAATTTCATTCAGAAAAATAAACAGCTTCACTGGTGAGGCCTATAAATTTGGATAAAATTGGTTTTGTCTTAGGATTTTTAGCTTCTACAATCATTTCACTTCCATGCTTTAGTACTAAACACAAAATAAAATTTTAAAAGCTCTTTGGTTCTATAAGAGTTTTCTTGAATGGGAGGTCAGATCCACTCTTTAATTATATTTCTGTCTCTATGTAAGTTTTTCACCATTCTTGAGTGGATTGCTACTGAGATTTGATCAAGATGGGTTAAAAAAAAACATAAAAAGATACTTCCAAAAATAAGGTGCAATCATATAAACTGCTGTTTTTCAAAAAAATAAACAGTGAAAGAAAATACTGTACAAATAAAACTTAGTGAATATCATTAGATATATATTTAAAATTCATTGAAAGATAAAGAGCAGTGTTATGTGTATCTATTTTGATTTGACTAGTTGTATAGCCAAATGGATATGTATAGACAAAAAGGCAGTAAATGAGGATGTTCAGAAATTAAGGGAAGGGGGGGGTGTCACAAAAAGATTTTAGTTCACAGCATTTGTTGAGCATCTATTATGTGTGAGGCACTATTCTAAGTACTGGATTTTCAATGATGCCTAAAATACAAAGAGTAATAAAGAGCTCTTACACTTTCAAAGAGATAGATAACTATGAAATTAACCACAATTAACAGCGTGGAGTGCTTTTAGTAGTATTAACACATTACTATGAAAGCACAAACTAAATCATGTTATTTAGGCTGGAGAAAATTTTAGAGAAAAGATGACAGAGTTTGGCCTTGAAAGATGAGTAGAGTTTCACCAGGCCATAGGTGCCCATTTCCTACACTTCCCATTCCATCCTGTTGGCATTCCATTTAAGAAAGGGAAAAATCATGGAGACATGAAACTGCATTTTCAAGGGTGATGATGTGGAATGTGACAATGGAAAATAGGTTGAGATCACCTTCTGAAGGGTTCCTTACGAAGGAAGTTGAATTTTGTAAGTAATGGGAAGCCACTGAGAATTTTGAAGCAGAGAAGTGCAACAGTCAGATCTGTGTTTTAGAAAAATAACTCTTGCAACAGTATGGAGGATGGCTTTTTGGAAAGGTCTAGACCAGTATGAAGAGTACTTCAAATAATCTAACCGTGAGCATCTGAGGGTGTGAATTTGGGCAACAGTAGTGAGAACAGAGAAGAGGGATAGATGCAGAGAGCATTTTGGAAGTAGAATTGGCAGGGTTAGTGACATTCTATATATAATGAGTTTTAGAAGGGGAAAAGGGAGTAAATATGTCTTTGAGATTAGTGTAACTAGTAAAATGATAATGCCACTGACACAGGGAATGTGACAGGAAAAGCAGATTTGGTAGATGAAATAATGAATTTGATTTGGGAACTGTTGACTTTATGGTGCCTGCAGGAAACCTTCCTTGAAATGCATTCAATGTATTTGAAAATGTGAACTTATCTTAGGAGAGAGGTTGGGAGATGAGATATAGATTTAAGATTTATTTGCATAAAGATGAAATCTGAAGGTATAGATATTACAAGATCATCTGTGGAAGGAATGGAGGTCTTGAAGAGAAGGCTAAAGAAGAAAAAGCCTTGGGAAATGCCAACATTTTTTTGTTTGTTTTCGTTTTTTGTTAGAGAGCGAGCGAGATCAGTTGAACAATAAGGGTAGAAGTTAGGTTGTTAAGGAGTGATGAGAGGTTAGAATTTGAAAGTAGCAAGTGTGGACTTTAAAAATTGAGAGACAGAGAATTGGGTCAAGAAAAAACAATTAGAAATGTGAGAAGAGCATGTTTGTGGGCTGAGGAGAACATGCTGGTAGAGCAGGAAAGATTGAAAATAGGCAGGAGAGAAGAGATTGCTGCCAGAGCTAGCATGAGGGGAGATGGGAGAGGATGGGCTACAGGACACATGGACAGTTGAGCCTGTCACCTTGCAGAGATTGAAAAATGGTTAAAATTAGGTAAAATGAAGGGAAAGTAATAGGCGAGCTCATGTCTGTTAGCCCCTATAAGGAATATTATATGCATTATGGAATTTTTTGGTAGTTTAAAAATTGTTCAAGAGAAACTCTTATAATCTTTCATGAAAAAAGTGCATGTATCTCCTCAGTGGAGCTTTTAGCTATTTTAGGTCACCATGAAAGAGTACTCCCCCGAGACAAAGATTATGACATTTTATAGCCAGTGAAAGTCCAGTTTATAGATGTAAATATTAGGCTGAAGAGTCGGTTTCTATTTTACTACTTAGCACTCAATACTCTTCATCTAGTTAAAATCTGTGTATCTAATATGCAACAAGAAAATAAAACTTTAGTAAAGCAATGAAGGAATTACATAGAATTTTTATTAAAAATAAATTTTTTGTTTGTAACAAGAGGTCGTTTAATGTAATAGTTAAGAACACAACCCCTAGATTTAGCTTTGGATTTGAATCCTGATTACCACTTTATATCCACCTGATCTTGGGCAAGTTACTTAAGGTCTGTGAGCCTCACATTTCTCACCTGGAAACTGGGAACTGAAAATACCTCATAGGGGTTTTTTTTAAATTTTTTTTAAAGATTTTATTGGGGAGCTGGGGGAGGGGAACAGACAAGTTGCTGTCCTTTTGTTCTTCAGTCTAGTTGTGGAGGATGTCACTTCACTGGCCCTTGTTGGTATTATCATTGCACTCTTCCCGGGTGAGGCAGATCAGTCGCCGGCCATTGGATGGCCGCTCATGGCTCACAGCAGCTCATGAAAGTGCACACCAGCTGCTGGCCAGCCCCACTGTAGCCTACGCTGTCGCCAGCGACTCACAACAGCCCAGCTCCAGGTCGAGCTGTTGTTCACCATCTTAGCTGTAGACGGTGCAGCGTCACTGGCCCTCATGTGGGATCCAAACCAAGGCCCTGCTGCTCAGAGGTGGCGTCCCAAGCCAGCTCTTAACCAACGCGCCACTCTGCCGGCCCCCTCATAGGGTTTTTATGAGTATGAAATGATGTTTGTTAAGTACTCATTGCAGTTCAGAGAATGGTACCTCTTAGTAATTAATTTGGTATAGTTTTCATTTTTTACTATTTCCCAAAACTTGTGTTAATAAAGCATTTTCATATAAGACACATTTATGTATGTTCTCATTTTGATTGAATTTTATATTAGGTTGAAGAACTAAATGGAGAAATTAATGAGATTAAAAATGAGTTATCATCACTTAAAGAAACTCATATTAAGTTACAAGAACATTACAATGAATTATGTGATCTGAAAAAGTCAGAGGAAGACAAGAAGTTTCAGGTAAAATTCAAGTTATGTTGGGGAATCAAATTGTTAAAGAAATTAGGACAAGGGTTTCCTTTTCTCCACAATTTCACCTACATGTTATTTGTTAACTTTTTGATATTAGCCATTCTGACTAGTGTGAGGTGGTATTTGATTTGCATTTCTTTGATGATTCTATCTTTTCATGTCTGTTGACCATCTATCTGTATATCTTCTGGAGAAATGTCTCTTCATGTCCTCTGCCCATTTTTTGATCAGATTGTCTGTTTTTTTTTATTGAGTTGCATGATTCCCTTATATATGTATTTTGGGTTATCAACCTCTTATTGCATATATCATTTGCTAATACATTCTCCCATGCAGTAGGTTGGCTTTTTGTTTTCCTTTGCTGTACAGCTTTTTAGTTTGATGAAGTCCCATTTGTTCATTTGTGCTTTTGTTTCCCTTACTTGAGGGGACACATCCAAAAAGATATTACTTAGACTGATATCAGATAGTTTACTGTGTCCATTTTCTTCCAGGAGTTTTATGGTTTCACGTCTTACATTTAAGTCTTTCATCAGTCAGCTCATGTTCATCACTTTGTCTAAAACCCTTCAGCGACTTCACATCATCTTTCAATAGTTGGAACTCCTTAGCATGCTATATCTAGTAGGCCCTTAATGACCTAGGCCTAGCTTCCCTCACGCCGTCATTCTCTCCATGTTCCTATTATAATAATAGCAGAAGTAAACCACAAGTAGTTCATGAAAAGACTATAATTTTGCTTGCTTTTAAGCACCTGTATATGCCATTTGTTCTCCCTGGAGTGCCTCATCCCTGTTAAAGTTGTCTGTTATTTCTTTTCCTGTCTTCCCCACTGGACTGTAGGTTTTTGAGTATTTTTATGTTCATCATTGTATCTCAAAGCCTAGTTCAGTGCTTCCTTGGAATATGTGCTCAGAATACAGGGTAAATAAAAGGATGTTGAACTGATTCTCTATTTTAAAGATACATAAAAATACCAAACACTCAAAACAATTTGCCTGCCATGACTACTTTGCTTTTAATAAAGGAGTGGTTTTTTCAGTACATATAATATGTGGTATTATCTAATAATGTGGAATGCACATTTGAAAAATGTCTTAACTCTCCATTTTGTTTAAATATGATAGATTATACAAAATGAATTTTAAGTGATTTTCTTACAGAGTATATTAAATTTAGTAAAACAATAACCATTTGGCTTTTAAATAGAAATTGTCAAATGATTGAGTTGAAACAGATTCCACTTTTATTAGAAAACTTTGTTTAGTTTTTTTATGTTTTTACATTAAAGGGATCTTTTCCATTTTACACTAGAATCTTCCAGAAGTAAATACTGAAAACAGTGAAATGTCAACGGGAAAATCACAAAACACCATCATACAGAAATATAACTCTGGGCAAGAAATAAGGGAAGAAAATACTGTGAGTTTTTGTTTAGATACTGAGTACAGAAAAAAGGAGAGAAACAACGATGTCTCACTTAGAGAAGAAGTCATTATAGAAGGTAATCTAAGATAATACTGATATTTTCTAATTTGTATATTGAGCTTTTTGGGAAAGAGCAATTACTACAGTCTTTGCTTTGAGGACCTTGTAGTGGATTTGGAGAAATACTTTTTCGTATGTCTAAGAAATACAGCTTCCTGAGAGCTAGTCCTTACAGTCAATACTTTTGGGAAAAAAATACATTTCTGCCTTCGCTTCTCATCACTTCTTTGCTTTTTGCATTCTGGCTTCTGCCTTCACTGCTTTGCTGAGAATGTGCTATGAGCTACCAATAACCTTTTCATGACCAGACCTAGAGCACTTTCCTTAGTTCAAATGACCTTTCTGTAACCATTGAAATAATTTACTAATTCGTCCATCTTGAGAGTTGTTTAAAGATAATACTGACAGTTTGAAGGTGTTCAAACCTGGTTGAACAACCACTTGGTGGGGATGTTGTAGAGAGAATAACTGGACTTGAGAAAAGCCCTGCGAGCCCTGAACTTAGCATTCTAGATTGTTGGAACCAAACTGAAAATTTGAAATCTATGGTTGAAACCAGATGAATAAAATAAATGTCTTAAGTAGATGTTCTATACACTTGCCCAGGAATATTCAAAATTCAAAAATATTCACAAGGTATTAAATTAAAAAGTGATTGTTAGTCTTGAAGAAACCAGCAAGCAATATCTGGATCTAAGTAGTAAAAGAAATTAATAGTATAACATGTTAAGAGAAAATGATTTTTATCTAACCAGTTATGTGTTTATATGGAATTATATGCTTAAAAGGAAGCAACAGACTAGGGAAATAAAAACCATTTTGTAATACCTCAACATATTTCTCTCATTTTAAATAAAAAATACTTTGCTTTAATGAAATAAAAATTTAATAGGGATAGAGCCAAATCTTTTAGCATGCTAAATATATGCTTATTATGAAAAAGGGAACTTAATATTTAAGTAAAACTGGTGTCATTATGTTTGTGTAATAATTGTCCAATGAAATATTTAAGGCTAAATTTGTTTTTGTTTTTGTTTTTTTTAAAGAAATTGTCATATTTTTTTTTTTAAGATTTTTATTGGGGAATTGGAGGGATGGGAACAGTGCTGGGGGAATTGGGGGAAGGGGAACAGACAAGTTGCTGTCGTTTTGTTCTTCAGTCTAGTTGTGGAGGACGTTGCTTCACTGGCGCAAGTTGGCACCATCATTGCGCTCTTCCCGGGCGAGGCAGATCAGTCGCCGGCTTCTGGACGGCCGCTCACGGAGGCTGCTGGCCGCTCACGCTGGCTGCTGTCTACACACGGTAGCCCATGGCAACCCACTGCCACAGGGGCTGCAGCCTACGCCGTTGCCGGCGACTCATGGCAGCCCAGCTCCAGGTCGAGCTGTTGTTCAGCATCTTAGCTGTAGAGGGCAGTGTCACTGGCCCTGATATGTGGGATCCGAACTGGGGCCCTCTGGCGTCCCAAGCCAGTTCTTAACCATCGCGCCACTCGGCCGGCCCAAGGCTAAATGTTTTTATAAAAATAAGGTAATACATAACTTATAAAAGCAAACTTAGTGTATAAAAATTGACTGTGTTCTCATTATGACAGATTTACAGCTTTCTGAAAAAATATCCAAGAATGAAATTGATACTACTGTACCTCAAGATGAAAATCAAAGTGAAATCTCCCTAAACAAACCTTTGTGCATGGAAAAAGAATTAATTAGTCAAGAACAAACCTTGAATGTTACTGAATTTAGAAAAGCAGTTACTACAGAAGTAAAAGACAAGGTGGGCATGGAAAAAGACAATGGATATACGGAATTTAAATCACCAAATAATTCCTTTTTAGTGGCAGATATATCAATAGAAACAGAGAAGACACGCCTAGAAAGAATTGAGGGATTAGATCTCTACCATGCAGATGCACATTTAGAAGATGGAAGTAACAGAACATCATTTAACAGTATCTTAAATGAGATGGCTCACAATACAAATCATAAAACAAGTATTTCTGAAGATGAACCATTCAAACAACAATTCAGGTTGCTTCCAGGGACTCAAGAAAATGCCACAGGGAAGGAAATTACAAATAGTGACCAAACCAAAGCCGATTTGGTTTCATCTCTAGATGTAGAAAAGAATCCTGTTCAGTGTCAGAAATACAGTTTACACAATTCAAGTAATGTTATCTTAGATGATAAACAGTGTAAAATAAAACAAGTACAACTGTTAAATAAAAACAGTGAGTGCAGCACGTTGCCATTTAAACAAATTTTGGATGTTCAGCAAGTCTGTAATGATATTTCAGAGAAGCCTGAGCTAACTGTTCACTGTGATGTAGCAGTCAACCGCCCTACTTCATCTACTGTTGTCAGTGATGATTTGAAAGTACTTACGAATTCAGATGAAAATGTTAGTATTATGCCTGTGTTGGTGAAACCCAACTCAAGCCCTGGGGAAAGAGCCATGTATAAAAATCTGGATGATAAACAAAACAGTCAATTTAAGAACTGTCTGGGATGTTTAGAAAACAATGTGAACATTTCCCATCTTCGGGTTAACAATGAGAACATACGTGCTTCACAAGCCAAAGATACGAAAACTGCTGTTCACATGAAAACTTTCACAGAAGTACAGTTTTACAATACAGAGAGTAAGACTGATGAGAATCAGATAACTGAAGCTGCAGAAAAGGACCTCTTCCTTTTTGTGGACGTTAATGAAAGACAGCATACATTGTTAAATAATACAGAGAAAACAGAGTCATTAAGTGACATTGTTTCAGGAAAAATTTACAGTGAAGGACAGCTGGAAGAATCATGTGCACTTCACATAAAGCCATCTGGAGATTTAGTAAACAGAAGTGGAAGGTCAGCCTTTGATCTTTCAACTTCAGATAAAAAAACTGAGAAAACTCCAGTATATGTGAATGTTTTAGAACCTAGTCCTTGGTCAAAAGTAAATCAAATTGAAAGTCAAACAGTGAGCACTTCAACTTGTAGCATTCCTTTGTTGCTGAAAGAGAGACCAACAGGTCCATCAGAAAACATAAAGATTGTTTCAATGACACTTTGTAAAAATATTGGTGTGGATGAAATCAGGAAGGATATTGGACCAGGTAAGAAAACAAGTTTTCTTTTAAAATTTCTATTTCTACTTAGTATTTTTGATAAATATCCTCCAGATTGTTGAAAATTAAAACATTTTTTTCCCTAAACCTAAAATACTCCACATGTGTATATGTAAAAATAGGAAAGGTTTTATTTAAATAAAGTAGATTTCTTTTCACATATATCTGAACCAGTATTTATCAACATGTAGTGAGATGCTATTGCACTTTGGGAAAAAAAAAAATCAAGGAATTGAAAATAACCATAGGTCCAGGTGATTACTTATAAATTAGGAACAGCTACGTAATCTGAGTGTTTACTTTCTAGAGCAAATGCAGTGAAGTTGTTAGTGAGGTTTCTGCCAGTGTGCATGTTTGTTCCTTTAAAAAAAAACAAAACAAAAAAACTTCCTTCTCAGAACCATTTTGTTGCTTTCTTCCCCCAACTTTCTCCCTTTCCTTCATTTTTCTATTTCATCTGTACTTTCACCAGCACCATGTCCAGTTCTTTTATTTTACAATATTGAGGTATAACATGAACACATTTCATATCATTTGTCACTGAACCTCTTTAAATTGAACCTCTTATTTACCTATATTAATATTCAAATGTAAGTATTTCATACTGTTCTATTCCTTAAAACTACCACAGGAAATAACATAATGTCCCAGTTTTGCGTTAAAAATACACCAGAATAAAAAAATCGGGGGAGAGGTAAATGGATAAAACATGTGACTTGGCATTTATTGATGGATATTGAAGCTGGGTAATGGGTACATTGAGATTCATACTCTCTACTTTGGTGTATTTGAAACGTTTCATATTAAATATAAAAATATACTACATATCATGTATAGGTGCTGTATAAGTGTAACTTGGAGTTAGCAGTGAGCAAGTTTTATAAGTATAATCATGAGGAAAACTTCTTTACTTTGCCAATAGCAATCTCATAGTCAAAGTTGTTTAGGTTTTTAAAGACAGTTTTAGATTTAAGGGATTTTGTTTAACAATATACATGTAGACCCATTAAAGAAATGAAGATTTTAAGGAAAGCTTTGCATGACTTTCAGGCTTAACAGGCTTCTTTTTAGAAAAAAAAATTTTTTTTTTAAACTGAGAACTAAAAGCAAAATGAGTATTTGTTTATCCCTCAGTCAAGCACAACTAATCTCAGATTCATTGCACACAAAATTTTCAAATATCTAAGTATCGTGACTCATCGCTTCCATGATCTTCCCCGTCTACTGTAACCTATCGCCATCATGTTTGTGGCTTTGTAAAGATGTATTTTATAGCATCTGTGTGTGCAATGAATCTGTGAGATCAGCTGTGCCTGACGGAGGGTTTTTAGCATGAAGTAATGTAGGGAAAAATAGAAAACACCAAAACACTGTAAAACTTCCATTTCACAAACTCTAATTTTCCTAATAAAATGTATTAACTTCATTAATTTTGTCTGGCAAATGCTGTGGTTATCAAGTACTGGTCTAATGTTTACCATTTTCTCACAGGTCCTTTCTTCTAAATTAAGTCCCAATTATGTAAATAGTAAGAATGGAGTAGGAGATGTCTAAAATTCTGAAGAAATTCAACTTGTATTCATAAAAGATTCTCATAAATATATACATTGTTTTTAAGATTTTATTGGGAAATTGGGGGAGGGAAACTGTTGGGGAATCGGGGAAGGGGACCAGCCAAGTTGTTGTTCTTCAGTCTTCATTGTGGAGGGTGCCAGTTGCCATCTGGCTTCCCATCAGCAGCTCATGGCCTAAGCTCAAGGTGCTGTGTTCAATCTTAGTTGCAGGTGGGCATAGCCACCATCAAACAGCCAATCTTGTTGTTACACCAGCTGAGCCATCCTGCCACCTGTTGGCAGCTCAGCTCGGGCGCAGCATCACTGGCCCATGTGGGAATCGAACCGGTGGCCTCGTTGCTCTTAAGCCAACTCTTAACCAGTTGAGCCACTCAGCCGGCCCTCATAAATAGCTTTTAACCTTTAAAGTAGACATGTTTCTCTAGGTTATTTTTATCTATTTATTTGAGCCCAATGACCGCCTACTGAACAGCCCTTTGTTGGACTTCTTACTACGGCCATTTTCTTTAAATATACTTTGTAAAATTTTTAGTTGGTTCAGACTTTTCCTATTAATTTGAATTGGTAAGATGTTCACTATAAATGTTCACATGTGTGGGCAACGCAGGAACCAGGGTAAGGAAAACATATTGTTATTTTGTCTTAGAAGATATTTATTCCATTTCACTCATTTTAATGTGAAATCAGGTTTAGAAAGTAACAATAACATTTTGTTTATTGAAATGAAATGCCTAATGTAAGCAAAGTCTATGAAAACTATAAAATGTTCAAAGTAAAAAGAAAAAAGAAATTGTTCCTTTTTAACTACACAAGCACAGAATTAGAGAAAAACAAGTTCAGTCACTAAAATGAGTGTTTGGAGAATAAAATTCAGTTGTTGTCATTTCCTCTTTGTCAACCAGATACTACCAGCATTAACAGAGTTGCTGACACTTTGAATAACTCGACTATCCATCCAGATCCCAAGGGAGAGCCCAGTGAAGAGAGGAATGCAATTGCAAAAACTTTTTATGATTCTTCTTTTCCCACAGAACATGTAAGTCAATTAAAAATATTGCCAAGCAGACTTTACTGAGCTAATTCTACAGATATGTGTAGAACTGTATGCATCTGGATGCTTTAAGACCTAACTGATCTCCAAAATAATATCAAGAGGGCAACATGGCACCATTTTTCACAATTAAGGTTGATAGAAAACAGCAGGAAAAAGTCACAGTGTATAAATCAAATAGATATAATCCAGCCTGTTCTGGGAAGAAGAGTGTGAGGTAGTGTATTATGTACTTCTATTTTTTAGTCACCTAAATTTAGGAATAGTGCCAGTGAAGCATTTATTTGAACTTAAAAAAAAAAAAGTTCACCAGTTTGAGCATTTAAAAATTTATTTTAATCAAGGTTGCCTTAAATAATCTAATCAGGCAAATTCAGTTGTTTTTAGTGCTTAAGGTACTTCACATTTTGAGAAACTGACTTGCAAAGGAAGTGTACCTTTTAATTATTTCAATTAGAACACAGTATATGAAAAGATCAAATATCCATAAACATATCAAGTATGGATGTAAATATTAAGCAAAGTATTTGTATAGATTATATGGCTTCAGGAGTCCATTTGTCACATAAAAAGCAACTAACTACAACTGACAGGATTTTTTTGTTAAAATGTATGTTTTTTTATCTTAGTATGTAAAACTTGAGTGCAAAAAAGGCTGTGTTGTTCAGTCTAAAAACCAGACAATTATAGGTGTAACTGCTAAAAGCAACCTAAAAGGTTAGGAAACTTTACTTATTTTAAAAAACTGCATAGTGACTGATTTTAAAGTTACTGTATATTTTGAATTTTATTAGAAGTGCACACTAAACTTTACGTTTAGCACATATAAAATGAAAATTATAGTACTTACTAACAGCCTTAACATGTAACAGCTTTTAACCATATATTCCATTTTCCTTTTCAAATCCGAGAAACCTCCACTGAGGTAGTGTAACTTCCTCAGAGAGCTGAAACTAAAGTCAGCTCCAGTCAGGTGGAAGCTAAAGGATACACCTTGCACCTTTTCATAATTGCACTCAGCAACAAATAGTTTCGGCTTGATGTGTCCAAGGGTGTATCTTTAGAATATAGACACCTGGCATTGGGAAATTCTTGGCCAATTGGTTAAGTCACAGCATAAAAGCAAAAAGGAAGCTTGAAAGTATCAAAGCTAGCCACTAATTTCTAATTTGGTTGAATACTTAACACTTATAATTGTCCTACTTTCAGTTTCAGATGGAAATTTCAGATTCCCCTTTCAAGCCCATTTTTATTTTTATTTTATTATTTTTTTAGCTGAGCCATCCTGCCACCTTTTGGCAGCTCAGCGGCAGCTCAGCTCGGGCCAGGCATCGAACCGCTGTTGCTCAGAGCTCAAACTCTTGAGCGACCTCTTAACCGAGCCACTCGGCAGGCCCTTCAAGCCCATTTTTATAATTAACACAATAGGGAAGTTCTTTGTGTCTAACTCCTAATGCTTTTCCTTCAACTAATGTTGTTTTTAAGAATTTACATTTCTAGAATTAAAACTTTTTTAAAGAAATATTCCCATGCCAGTCCTGTGAGGTACATCTATTTTACAGATGAGGAAACAGTGCCATGAATGTGAAATAACTTTCCAAAGTATTAAGATACAATCTGCGATGGATTTAGACTAGGTATCTTGGCTCTAAGTCAAATGCTATCTACTTTCTCAACTTCCGTAATAGAAAAAAAAAGTTTCTTCTCAAAATACTAGTGCACATAAAACAAACTCAGCTCAGTGGCTGAACAGACATTTCTAGATACTTATTACTATGTGTCAAGCAGCATGATTACCAATTAACATGTAATGTGGGACTTATTTAAAAGCAGATCTATGTATGCTTTTGCCTAGTCTACTGAAAATGCTATTATCCCTGCATTAAACCAGACAAATCTAGTCTCTTCATGAAGACTGTTTACTTGCTCCTTAATATTTTACTTTTCTAAATCATAGTCTGTCACATGACAGCTGGTGGGCCAAATGCAGCCCACTGACTCATTTTAGTAAGTAAAATTTTGTTAGAGCACAGCCACACCCATTCCTTTACCTACCGTCTAAGGCTACTTTTTGTGGTGCACTGACAGAATGAAGCAGTTGTGAGCGGGGACACTTGGCTCTCAAGGCCAAAAATATTTACTTCTGGCTCTTTACAGAAAGTTTGCCAACCCTTGTTCTAAATGAAGACAAATGGATTTTATGAAGACATAATAACCAGAAAGGGAACAGAAACTTATATTTTTCAATATATTTTTATGCATACTCTTCCCAGCAATCCTGTTGAATTTGGTTCATTTAAATTAAATTTTAAAATGCAACCCTAGGACTAGTACCAGGCTGGGGGAAATTTTAGGCCAGAGACCTTTTAAGTCAGAAAGAAAGAGGTTAGGAGATAAGTGATTTTTAAAAGGATATAGGAAAGGAAGGAGCCAAGATACGTGACAACATATCTAGAATTATTGCTTGTAGGATGCAAAACCTCAAAAGTAAGTGAAACAGGACAAGTTTCATTAAATATAAAACTTGAATCTACATTACATCTTGTTTATCTCTACAGCCAGTCCCTGCTCCTGCCCCCTCTCTCACCAAGTAGGTAGTTAAGGGGAAAGAAACTAAAGCAGATAGGTGTAAATGTCTCCTTCATTTCCATCATCAAGATCAAAAGTCAAAGAATCAAGGTTTTGGAAAACAAGGTCATTTGTACTTGATGTCAGTTGCACCAAAATGTATCAAGCATTTTGATGGCAGAACAGGACAATTAAACTATACAGATCACCAGTCAGTTAACTTCAAAATCAGTAGCAACCTACATATAGATTTGATATATTTTTTTGTATCAGCACTCATGAGTAACTTGTGTATTCGTTTTGGCCCTGTGAGTTAAGTATGTTGAACACACTTTACCAGACATTATCAGAAATACACATTTATGCACATTTTTATCCATTCCAGTTACTCTTTACCATAGTACTTTGTAACTAAAAGGAGCTTACGAGAAAACTGAGGCCCACAAAAGTTAATTGACTTGCCTAAAGTCTCTTGGCAGTCCTGTACTGGTACTTTTGTCTTCATGTTTGATATAAGAACACAGGCAATCAGACTGATATGAGCACAGCATCATCCCAAGGACCAGAGGCTAGGACTGTGAGGGGATGGGTAGCTGACTGTAGAATTCTCAGGAGCCAAGAGCAATCCTTAGGGAACTGAGATTAAATGTGAACATTTAAGATCATTTAAAAAATATTACTACATACTCTCACTTTGTAACATTGTCATGCTACTTTTATGAGTTAAGTCGGAAAAGATTTTAATGTAAGGCAATATTCAGAGATCTTTACAAGACTTACGAACAAATGACATTCATCATAGCCTAATTTATAACAATAAATGTTTTCCAATGACTTAAATGTCCAACAATATATTGAAATTATGGAACATGGAATATAATGGAGCAATGTTCTTAACAGACTTAATAGAAGGAAATGCTAAAAATGTTTCTAACACAGCAAATATGTGATTCAGAAAATTTAAAAGTATACATACAGAAGAGACCAAAATATTTACATTAAAATGTTTAATGGTGGTTGGAATCTTGGGTGATTTTAACGTAATTCTTACCCTGTTCCATATTTCTAAAATATAATATTCCCTTTTAACAGGAGGTTTTACCTGATAATGATTTTTTCCCCAACAAATTAACTCAAATTTATTTGATAGAGATAAATTGAAATAAATATTCAATTATGAGATAAATTATCATACATCCATAAAAGGGAATATTTTGCAGCCACTGACAATTGTTATGAGAAATTCTAATGACCTAGGAAACAGCTCAGAGGGGAAAAAAACCAAGGTATAAAATTCTATAGAATAATCAAATATGTTAAAAATAGGAAAAAGGTCTAGCAGCAAACATTACCAAAATGTTGACAGGTCTCTCTGGATACTGGATTACTAGTGATTTTTACTTTATACTTGTCTCTAGTTTCTAAATTTCCATTAATATTATCAGTAAAAAACCTGAAAATGAAAAACATATTTTTAACACAGTATTATGACCCAATCCAGGGCCTTGGGAACATGCCAACTTCCAAATACTGCACTGCTCTTTCCTGTTTCTCCAACAATGCTGCTTTGAAGCATGAGAGGAAATATGAAGTAAAAGGCAGTTTTTATATGGCAGTTTACTTCTGTTAATATTTTAAATTTTCCCCTGGCTTCGATAGAAGATACAAAACATAGACATGTTTGGAAAGGGAGTAGAAGACAAAACAGATTTTTATCTGCATGTTTTAAATATAATTTCTTTCAGTGCAAGCTCAAGCCCTTTTAGAAAACGTTTGTGGCATTCCTGGAATATATTAGGAATCTTGCAAAGCTACTACATAGGCCCACAAATTCACATTTTAGTTTTTTGGTGCCAAAACTAAGGTAGTTTTGTTGGAAATTAGCCAAGAAAATGGTGGCTTTATCACATGCTCATAATCGCAGAAGCTTAAGGATTTTCTTTAAACTCTTTTGTTGATGAGTGTTTAGAAAATGAGCATAATTTCAGTGGTAAAACAAGTTTGGTCTTTCCTAGGTGAAAGCAAAGCCTCTGAAATCAAATCTACAAAGCCACTTTCAGGTAATCAAGATTAAAGACACTAAGGATTTAACTGTGTCTTTTACTTGTGAAGATGACTGGCAGAGCCTGGTAACAAATCAAACAAACAAAATCGAAAAGTTTCTAACCTTAGAAAATGACAACCAACCAAAAAAAAGAAAAGCAGAAGAGATGTTGGAAAAAACAACAGATTAAAATAATGCTTTCAGTGGTGAACCGAAATACCGATGTGGTTTTGACTATAGCAAGATGATTGTTACATCTAAAGCTTTACAGATGTACTCACTTTTCCAATTTTTTCTGATGTGATGAAATTATATTACTGTTTTTGCTCAGCAAATGTTTCATTTAAGATAGCTAAGGCTGTTAGCATTCAATTCCCCTTTGTCTTTCCTCCATATATCCTTTCATCAGCGTTCTTGTTGCACCTTCAAAACCCTTCCTTACAGAACGCAACTTATGTATTACATAAGATAGACACAGTGACCCTTTGTAATTTATTACTTTGTATTCTCTGAAGATTGTGATTTCTTTTGAATTTGAGACAATAAATGTTCAGACTGTAGTCAGATTTCAGTTTATAATGTTTTACTATGATTTAGATATTTTCCCCAAAAAGAACAAAATTTATAGCTTAAAAATTCAGGTATCAGAAAGACTCAAAAGGCTGTTTTTCACTTTGTTCAAGTTTTGTTTCCAGGCATTAAGCGTGTCATACAGTTGTTGCCACTGCTGTTTTCCAAATGTCCGATGTGTGCTATGACTAAAAATTAAAAAATTAAAAGTCATTAGTTAACCTTTTATCCTCTGCTGTTCTTTTACCATACTAACTCTTGTATCTAGTTAAAAGGTTAAATAAACATTAAAAAACATAATTCAGAATTTTAAGAGGAATTATAAGCTTTTTCTTAAAAAATCTTTACCATATTGATCCTGAACCTTCTATTTTCCCGAACTACATAAACCAGACACAAAAGTCATTAGTATTCTAGCCAATGCTGAGCCATTAAATGAAATGTGCTGGAAAATAGGGCTCTTTCATTAAATGAGCTAATCACATTCAGTCTGAACTTTAATAAAATTATGATAAATAGCAATTATTTAACTACAGTCAACTGATAAGAACACCACCTTGGTTTTCTAAACATTTAAGTGAAATAATCAGAACTAAATTGTTCTACAAAATGCTGCAAAGTATTAAGTGTCTTACCTGACAACTACTTTTCTCTGAGTCTGATCAATTTTGCTGTAGACCATTTTTGTTTTCACTGCTGAACAAAAGATGTTTTACATAATGTTATATGGAAAATTCCCAAGAAAAAGAGCCTAAGGTATGAAACTGACCAAGTAAACCATAATAACACTAGTTCTCCAACATGATTTTACAAACTGGCTCTCTGAATCTAATAACAAGCACAGCAATATGATGCAACCAAGAGGAAGATCATGCATTTGTTCTATGGTTGCTGAACCAATGTATATTAAACATCATATACAGTTTTCATTAAGAATTCTAGGCGTTCTCCCCTATAACCACCTATGGGGGGGAAAAAAACCTAATTACCTAATAAGATATTTCTTAATAGGTATGTCTAAGACTTAGCGCATTAGAAAGAAACCATGTCAATAATTCTGTTCATTTTATTAGTGTCAACTGTACAATCCCCACTTTCAAACTTAAAAGGCTCAGAAAAAATTCCTGATTAACAGTTAAATCACTTTATAACACCATTGTTGGGGAAGAAGGTACTGTTTCTAGGCCAATCATAAAAAATTGACAGTGGTTAGGATTTGTAGATGATTTATGTGCCATGTGCACTGGGCTTGAGTACTTTACCTGCATTAATTCATTTAATCCTCAGAACCACAAATTACTACTATGTTCCTCTTTCATAGAGGAAGACCTGGTGTGAAACCCAGGTCTGGTACTAAAATCTAGGCTCTTAGCAACTATGGTATATTCCCTAAAGACCTTTGTTTCATATGACTTCAAGGGATAGAACCAACACCAAAACCCACATAGTCATTTATATTTCCATTGAATTTTCACTCTACTACAAATATAATCTGCCAATCTAGTAAACATACACAGTTGCTACAAAAGAACTTAGCTTTGTTAGCATAAGGCTCAGCTTCAAGGTTAAAAATCTTAATATTCCACGGGGTAAAGGACAAATTCTAGAAAAAAAAAAAAGAAAGTGTTCTAATTGCCTTACCATCAATTACAAATGCTTCAACATCATCAGCTCCAATCTGAAGTTCTTGTTGCATTGTATCAAAAGAAATTTCTTTATTTTCCACTGCCATTCCCATAAAAGTAAGTAGTCTCATTTTTGCCATATTCTGTTCATGTAACAGCCCTGAGTAACACAAAAGTGAAGTTTGATGAGTATCCATACTAATAAAAGACCTACATGATTACAACTCTTACATTAAATTGTGGAAGTCACTGTGTTTGATCACTTATATAATATTTTGATAAAGCTTCATTAGCAAACCATAAACTGACCCCATAATTATATGGAATATTTAAAATTATTTTTCTAGAACTACATATCTTTATTATTATAGCTCCACTGGTGATTTGTTCTGTTTTACCAGTAAACAGTTTTAAAATATTTTCACACACATTCAATTATGAAAACATTCCATTTCCCTTTAGGTCACTTTGGCTTTAACACTTTCAAAGTCAAAACTGTAAAACTGTGCTCATCACTTAACATTAATAAGCTAAAATGATTAGTACTAGATACAATTAAACAGTACCATTAATAGTGATACTTGTTCTTTATAAGGCAAAAGTAGAAAACTATTCAAATAATTTAAATTCTGCCTTATAATTTATAATGCAACATGGTGTTATAATTATATCACACAATTGTCAGACTTAAAAGGAAACTTAACAAATTCCCTAGTCCTGATCCTTTCACTTTAAAAAATAATAAAATTGAGGAGCAAAAAGATGAAAGGACTTACTTATAGTCACACAGTGGCTGTACTAAGCCTAGAAAACAGGTTCATTTATAAAATAAATGACTAGAATACAAATAAATGTTTACAAATTCTGACTATCCAAACATTTACCTATTTCTAAGTAGAAGCATTGTAACATATATACTTGATTTGATGCTAATTATTATAAAAACAAGCTTCTAAAATTAATTTTGAATTACATGTTCCTTTTCTCTGAACTTTCAAATTATGTAAACTCAGTAAATGATCATTGCCCCTTAATAATTAAGAGCCTCAAGTTTGTATTGTTAAAATTCTCTCTAAGCACTCCATAAATTTGAAATGTATAACATTCATATATTAGTAGAAGACTAGAGAAGCCCATTAATATAGCACATAATAGTCTGTTAATTAGCTGTAATTATGATGCAGACTTTCTATTTGGCACAGATTCAACAAAAACATGATCATCATAACTCAAATGAATGAGGTACCCAAATAAGTATTGCTAAGCGGGTTTAATGGAAATCTACAAGCATCAAAAAAAAAAAAATCAATTAGCGCACATTAACCCTAATTAACAAATGAAAATTAGATGCTGATTAACTTTCTGAAGCAAGATAGTAGCAACTGGATAACACCTGATTAAATGTGGACATGTCAGGGCAATTCAGCTGACACAACATAATGCTTCTGTTGGCCCAAGTTGTCACTGTTAATAAAACAGACTGTTGCCACCTGTGGAATTTATACATTTGTAACTAGGTTTTCAGCTGTAATAAATGTCTAACAGTAAGTCTAAACCAAAATATACATATTTAATAAGATGTTTTCCCCAAAGCACCTTTTATAAATTCCTAGTAAAAGATTGCTAATTTGCAGAGATTTTCAAGAAAGAGGCAAAATAGAGAATTTGATTTCCTGTTGGCACAATAAATAGAAATGTTGTGTTTTTCCTATCAGACAACAAATACTAAAGATTTTTCTCAGTATTTGTAAATACAAGAAAATTCCTTAACATTCCCAGTTCTACGGGCATATACAGTTCTCTTTTAATATGGTAAAATGATAGAAACTCTTCAAGTTTCCGAGATATAAGCAAAAATACTCTTGAAATAAAATTTATTGTACTACTACTCTGTGCAGTTACAAGCTTACCATAAATCAAAAAACTTAAGAAGAATGAAAATTACTTCTAGAATAAATTATGTAAACCACTGTCTATAATACATGGGGAAATCTGCATTTAAAAACATTTCAAATTGATGTTTACAGCCACTACTTCAAAACACATAATCAAACTTAAAGCCTTTTAAGACTCTTGTTCTCAAAATCAAGCTATTAAGCCAGTGAAGTATGAGTTAAAGACTTGTAAGAAGCAGTGCTTTATTTCATGAAAGTAGAATACCTTCAAAGAGGAAGTCACAGTGTTCTGTGTCATATTTCAATTTTAAAGCTATAAAAAAATCTAATTTTATGGAAACATTTATTCATTACTAATATGTCAAAACCTTAATGCAGTAATAAAAAAATGTGCATCATTGAGCAATTTCTGCATTGTCGCTGACCCCTGCCTTAAAATGCTGCAATATAGAAAACGTAATTTTAATGCATGCAATAGCTTATGAACCAGTGCTCCTTTGAAACAGTCAATTACACATCAATGGGGGAGTGTCAAAGTGTTAATTACTACTCCTTTTTCCTTGGTGCGTAAATAAAGAGGTTGCTGACATTAACATTCCATCACATAGCTTCATGCCACAAAACAAATTAACTGGGACAGAATGTGATTTTCTGGGTCTAGTGCACCTGGCAAAGCATTCTACACAAACACACTTGCTCCTACTTTATCTTGGTATATTTCAAATGCCTTATTATGCTCAGACTAACTCAATCTTCACCAATTCCAATGGCTGCACAAAATTTTCAGGTGACAGGAATTAATGATTACTAAATTGAGGACTAATAGTATAATCAAAGCAGATTATAAATGTATTCTTTATCTACATCTCAAAAAACCCAGGAAGCTAACAATTCAATTTTAATATGGAAAATATAACCTCTAATGTATTTTGATTGCCTAGTAGGAAAACAAAGCACCTTAGTTTCATATCTGATTTCACTCAAAAAACTGGTACTTTCACTATTTAAACCAGTTCAACTACAGATTTTCTAAGTTTTCTCTTTGTAATTTTAGTATGTTAGACGTGCTCTAGAAGGAAAATACTGTATGTGGAGTTTGCGCAATGAGGCTGAATAAGATCAATTCAATTTGGTAAACATTTACTGAGCTCTGATGCTCTAGAAAGAAAACTCAAGAGACAAAAATCATAAAGCTAAGACTTTGCTGTCTTCAATGAACTGTAGTCAGGCAAGTTTCTCCTATAATGTAAAATCACTACAACTCCTAATTCTATCTACAGCTTCACTCAGATCTGC